TTCAGAAGCTCCTCTGTCACGAGGTTAGGGTCTTCTTCGTTCCCATAACAAATCAAGATTTATTCTAAAAGATCTCCTTTTGGCTAATGGTAAAAATGAGGCAAATTATTTATAATATCAGATATTAATGGCTACCAATTTCTTGCCAGAGTTCTAATGAAAGCTCTCATGAAGTGAACAATTTTTACCCATTTCTATATATATCAAGTTCTTGCGATAAAAATTGCAGCAACCTCTCCTTAAACAAGAGATAAAACCAGCGACTAGTTTCTTGAATCAAGGCAAGAAAAACTTTTAAACAAGATGAATATCAATATGGATAAGTAGTGGTAAATTTCTTGAGCAAACTCTCACAACAGTTGAAGGAAACAACCCTAAAGAGTTAATAAAAGCGAAAATACAAAGTTTTTACCATCACTTTTGATACATGCCATTTGACAAAGAAATATGAAGAGTCATAGGTTTCAGGCTTCTTTAAAGAGACTAAGTGTCCATTGATTAATATGAATATACAAGTTTATTTTATATAAACAAATACAGATAACAAAATAGAAATAAATCACAAACACATCCTTCCCATATATACTGATATAAACTTAGTAGAAAATATATAATTTCCTTTCACAATAAATACCTTATCCTAAAAACAATCTAGATCCATGGAACCAACAAAATTACCTTTAGAATTTTCACCAGTAAAGACAAAGGAATCCAAATATCCCAAAATAAAAACAATGCAAAAACCTCACCTCTCTCTCTCTCACTGTAGAGTTAATTAGGGTTTAGTGGTGGTTGTTAGGAGGTTTCTCTTTTTCTAAGGCTCATTGACAATGGTTATCGGTTGCAGGTCCTTGGGACCATTCTACTTGGTGCACAAAAATAGTCCCGTGCTTTGGGTGCCTCAGTTTTTCTCTTAGTTTTAGGTCAATAATCCACACCATCCAATAGTTTTAGGTCAATAATCCACACCATCCAATTTAATGGACGGTGTGGAGGGCTGCAGCCCTATCAAAGTATTTTCTTATATGTTATAAGGCAACTTTTCATCCAAATTTCGTTGATTGGAAAGTACACCTATAGATTTACCCTCAAGTGCACATTATATATTAGTTCCTCATATACAACAATTTTTTTTTTTAAAAAAAGTTTTATATAAGGTTGTAATCTTAAAATATAGATTTAAATATGCACCTCAAAAATCGATCGTAAAAAGTTGTTTGGATGTTGGGAAACCCTCTAATTGATCATCTTGACATCGAGATGTATGAATATGAAAATAAAAAAAGATTTCAAGTCTACAAAATAGTGTATCTTGCAACACATTATCCAGACCGCCCATATTCAAAATTTTCATATGTTTATTGATCTACTTGATTTTTAAACCATTTTTATAGCTAGGGATGAAAATGGATTCTCAAGGCATCCTAATAATTTTTTATATCAAAATTACATTTTTGATAAAATTTAGAGGTACACCTTAAATGGATTGTTTAAGGTTGCAAATTTATGTAAACAACACCCTAACAAAAATTCATGAAAGGAAAGGAAATTTTATTTTTTAATTAATAAAAGACAGTATTATTTATATTTTAAAAATAATTTTAAATGTTTAAATATATATTTATTTGTAAATACACGAACCAGCAGAACTACCGAATCATTTACTTAGATAAATTCGCAAGTGCTGAAGCTCCGAACTTTGACGCGAATGTTGCCAACAGAAGTGGCGCATTACATATACAAGATAGGGGAACCGGGCCGAAACAAGTACCTTTCGAGAGCTAACTCAGAAGTTAGAACTGCTGATTCCCATGTGGATATGCAATTTCGGGTTTTAAAATACTGATCAATTATACATGGGTGCGGTTTGTGTTAGGATATGGATATCTTAGGTTCGTATTGATATACATCCTTATGGATGTCTATGTATATATCTCTTGATAAGGTTAGGTATCTTGAAGATAGAGACAAAATTATTTGGTCATCAAGTTATCATACTATAATTATTTTTTCTTTGTGTTATTGTCCTCTATATATAGAGGTACTTCTTGATGTAAAGATTAATCCAATATAATGAAGATGTAGCAGGTTGGGGCTTTGGATATGTGGACGTAAGGCTTCAGCCTGAAACACATTTGATGTTGTGTTCTCTCTCCATTCAACACGTAAATGTTGTGTTCTCTCTCTATTTTATGTTTTCACAAATTCTAACATGGTATCAGAGCTCGATTGTGCAGCTCCTCTGTGAAAGTCATGTCATGTTTCTTCTGTGAAAGTCATGTTTCTTGATATGCCATACAGGCTTGAAGGAGAGAGTAATAAGCTTTTCCGCTTGCTGAAACATAGCGGAAAGCATATCTTTTATCACATACCTTACACTCCAACCTCCATCCAGCTGATAAAAGATGATTCACAGCTTTTTGTTTCATCTGTTTGATGAGGCCCCTCCCTCTTCATACTCCCATTGTTGCTCCTTACTACAATGTAATCAGTTATTGAGTCCATTAGTTTTAGAGCCATGGCTACTTACATTAAAGCTCTGCAACACTCCATGGCCACCATGCCTTCTTCATCATCCACCAAGACTCGCATATGCTTCTCAGTCCTTTCTCTCTCAGCATCTCCAATTACCTGATCCATGATGATCGGTCCTTTCTTTCTCAACATCTCCAATTATGTGATCTATGATGATATGTTTGTTCCAGATGCCTATGTTTTAATGATTGAATTTTTCATTACTCAATCCTATTTCTCTCTCAGCATCTCCAATTACATGATCTATGATGATCTGTTTGTTCCAGATGCCTATATTTCAATGATTGAATTTTTCATTACTCAATCCTATTTCTCTCTCAGCATCTCCAATTACCTGATCTATGATGATATGTTTGTTCCAGATGCCTATGTTTCAATGATTGACTTTTTCATTACTCAATCCTATTTGATGATCGAGTTTTCTGTTGCTCCAGTTCCTATTTGATGATCGAGTTTTCCGTTGCTCCATCCTGTGTGATGATCATTTTCTTTTAGAGAGAGAAAGCCTTTAGAAAGAAGAGAAGCCTCTGAAGAGAGAAGGTCTTCAGAGAGCCTTTGAAGAGAGAGGTCTTTAGAGAGCCTCTGAAGAGAGAGAAGGCCTTTAGAGAGCAGCCTCTATAGAGATCAGGTCTTCAGAGAGCAGCCTTTAGAGAGAAGGTCTTCAGAGAGCGGCCTCTGAAGATAGAGAAGGTCTTCAGAGCGGCCTCTGAAGATAGAGAAGGTCTTTAGAGAGCAACCTCTATAGAGATCAGGTCTTCAAAGAGCAACCTTTAGAGAGAAGGTCTTCAGAGCGGCCTCTGAAAATAGAGAAGGTCTTCAGAGCGGCCTCTGAAGATAGAGAAGGTCTTCAGAGCGGCCTCTGAAGATAGAGAAGGTCTTC